ACATGTGGAAAGTCTTTTGTCATCAAGTCCAACCTCACTAGGCATCAGAGAACACACACCGGGGAGAAACCATATGAATGTAAATCATGTGGAAAATCTTTTAGACGGATGTCACATCTCTGTAGGCATCAGAATAGACACACAGCAGAGAAATCTTATAACTGCAACACATGTGGAAAGTCTTTCCTCTACAAGTCTAACCTCATTGACCATCAGAAAATACACACAGGAGAGAAACCATATGAATGTGACACATGTGGAAAGTCTTTTCTCATAAAGTCACACCTCAATACACATCAGAAAACACACACAGGAGAAAAGAAAGTCTTTCCTCTACAAGTCTAACCTCATTGACCATCAGAAAATACACACAGGAGAGAAACCATATGAATGTGACACATGTGGAAAGTCTTTTCTCATAAAGTCACACCTCAATACACATCAGAAAACACACACAGGAGAAAAACCATATGAATGTAACATCTGTGGAAAGTCTTTCACCACGAAGGCAATCCTCAATTATCACCAGCCAATTCATACAGGAGAGAAGCCTTATGAGTGTAACAAATGTGGAAAGTATTTTGTCTACAAGTCATCCCTCAGTATACACCAGAAAACACACACAGGAGAGAAACCATATAAATGTAACAGATGTGGAAAGTCTTTTGTCATGAAGTCATACTTGAGTATGCATCAGAAAACCCATACAGGAGAGAAACCATATGAATGTAATTTATGTGGAAAGTCTTTCAGCCAGAGGTCTCGTCTCTGCATTCATCAGAGCACACATAAAGAAACCATATGAATGTAACACATGTGGAAAGTCTTACTGAAAGATTAAAAATTAGAGTTACATTTTACAATTGCTAACTGCTGATTTTGCTTCTGTAAACTTGCTTGTGCTAGCACTTACCCTTCCCCTCCCTGGAAATAAGTAAAAAGTTTCAGAGTCCAGATGCTGGCCCCTGGACAAGGTCTGTGGTTAAAGATAAAGAACAAAAGAGTATGTTTTTCTAAGTTCTTGTTTGAAAATTCCTCAAATGGGACCCAAGATAAGGACCATCTGGCAAGTCCAGCAAACTAGGTCAGACGTCAACCAATCACAAGCCTGCAACTATGTGAACTGCCCTCTAGGGTGACTGCTCCCCCTAGATTTGCCCTGAGCCAACCATTTTAAGAAGAATGTTACAAAGTTTCCCGCGTAGCATAATGATTGCTGGAGTACACAGTGACTTGTAGATGGACCAATCCCGGGGCACCTGGTTTCTTATCCTAATCCTGTGGGTTTTGCCTTTAAAAATGCCTGTAACTGCTGCTCAGGGCTCTCTCCCATGCCGAGGCAGAGAGACCGATTGTGCAAACACTGAATAAATTCCTCTTGCTTGTTGCATCTGCTGGTTTGGAGTCTTGGTTTCTGGGGCGCCTTCCCGCAGACGAAAGTATCCCAGGAGTCTGGGGTCTTTCATTACCAAGTCACACCTCAGTACCCATCAGAGAACACACTCAGGAGAAAAGCCATATGAATAGCACAATTCATCCTTCAAGAGGCATCAGAGAACACGTAAGGGACACGCCATATTAATCAAACACATGTGGAAAGCCTTTCAGACATATCAAGTCTCAAGCATCAGAGAACAGAGAGAAAAGAAATAATAGAAATGTAACAAATGTGGAAAGTCCACTACAAGTCAAACCCCAATGTTCATCTGAGAATACAGACAGGAGAGAAACCTTATGATTGTAACAATTGTGGAAGGTCTTTCAAGCAGAAGTTTAATCTGAGTGTGCATCAGAGCATTCACACAGGAGAGAAACCTTATGAATGTTGCAAATGTGGAAAGTCTTTCACTTACAAGTCAGATCTTAGCAGACATCAGAGTTTGCACAGGAGAGAAATCAGCACCAAATCAGACAGATGGAAATGAGGATTATAAGAGTTTTGAACTTTATTCTGAGCCACCTTTTAACCCTGTACCTTCTTCATAGAGCATCAGAATTAGAGAAGTTGATGTTGAGCAGCATCCTTTGGTGAACCACCTGATGGAACTGTCTATATTAGATTATGAAATGGTGCACGTTCCTCCTCAAATTCCAGTAGGAGCCTTTTGCTTTGCCCTAGAAGTTCCTGATGATGGTAAATGGACACTACCTCTTCAGAATTACCTGTTTTACACTAAGGAATCTCCCCTTACTACATAGCACCTTGCTAAGGACATACTCATGGTGAAGGCGGCTTTCAACATGACTCTCAAGAACAAGTATGTGAGGCTGGGAAGATGGCTGAGTGGTAGAGTGCTTCCCTTGCATGCCTGAGGCCCTGGGTCCAATTCCTCAGCACCACATAAGCAGAAAAAACCAGAAGTGGTGCTGAGGCTCAAGAGGTAGACCAGTAACCTTAAGCTGAACAGCTGAGGAACAGCACCCAGGCCCAGAGTTCAGGCCCCATGCCAAAAAAACAAAACAAAACAAAACAAAACCAATGAGTGCGCTCCATCTAGGCCTGTCAACAGCATTTTAACACAGGTGAATTCTGCAGTAGTTCAACATATATCCAGAGCAGGGGTCAAAGTGTAACTTGTGAGCTTGAGTTAGAATACTATGATAATAGCTGCAAATAAAATTGGCACCATGTGTCATTTTTGAATATTATCTTACATTGACTAGGATTTTAATGAAGGTTGTGAAACATTTACTATTAATACCTTAACCCATGTGAATGTCATTACTCTAGTGGATCCCAAATCTCACCTTAGCCCAAACAATCATACTGACATGACATCTTAACTCTATCCCCTAACTCTACCTAATGCTAAACCTAACCCAATTCTGACCCTAACCACAGCCAAAATGTAAACCCTAACTGAACCTCAACCCTCACACCTGATTGGAGCCTTCAGTCAAACCTCTGATCAAGCCTCATTCCATTGCTAATGCCCAGCCTAGCACAACTTGTGATCCTATCTCTAAGCAGAACCCTAGCCTTACTTCCTAAGACCACTCAAAACCCTTGTCTATACTGCTGAGGCCACCCATAAGCCTAACCTAAGCAAAAGCCTCACTCTAACATGAAGAGGCCTTCAAACAAAAAAAAGGGTGGTCTGTGCTCTGAATCTAACAATTCCTGAGTCTAGCACCATTGGTGTCGGACATGCAGGCAATGCTGGTTTCCCTGGCCTCCTTTTCCCTGATCTATCATCTTTTTCACAGTTCTAGAGACATGAAAAGGTGTGTGGTACAGTAGTTGGAATTAAAAGAATAATGAAGCAGCCAGTGTTTGTCTATTTTCCCAGTCTGGGAGTAAAATTATGGGCCTTGCCAACATTGGGCAAACTTAAGCTAACAGAACGCACCACAGACTGTGTGGATAGCTCAGTGGACCCATCTACCCATCCATCCAACTAAACAAAGAATTTAAAAAGCATCAACAACAATACATTCAAGCCAGCAACCAAACCATGAGGTGTCCCAGAAATTTTTTTTAGAAGCTCACATCTAATTCTTCCTAGCCAGGTGTTTGAGTACATGAGCCACAACCCTAACAGTTGTTTTTTTCTTGGTTCTTATTTGTTTCTTTAGATTTTGTTTTTAATGACTTACTATTCAAATGGGGGCAAAGTTTGGTCACAAGTCCATGAGCAAAACAAGGACATGTGCCTTTTAGCTGCCCAGAAGAAGCCGGTTGGACCCTAGATAAGGCCTAGCCCAGGCCCAGATGCCCTCTCTCTGCACTCTCTCTGCTCTCTCTGCTCTTTTCTAGCTCTTTCCTCTCTCTTTCCTCTCTTTCCTAGCTCTCTCTCATTCCCAGGCCTTTCCCAGCCATGTGGAGTGCCAACCTTGCCTGGTCCCAGCAAGTCTACTGAATAAACCTACCCCTTACCTGAATACCACGTGCGTGCTGCTGTTCTTACTCGGCTACCTCTTTTTAAAAACCTAACATAAATGGTGCCGTGACTCGCATAAAGGGATTAAAGTCAGGATAGGTGGGATTCCTCTCTGGGTTTTTTTCCCTTTTTTTTCTTTTTCTGTTTGTTTTTCCCTTTTTGCTCTGAGGAATAACCACAGTTCTGACGGCCTTTTGCGAACCCATCTGTCTGCTGTGGACACAGCACATCGATACCATTGCTGCCTTCACATCCACGTCCACACCACTTCTCTACTCTGGTGAGTGAAACTATTCTCTACGGCTCTCTGTTGCTCAGTCTCTGTTCAGGTGTGGCGCCACGCCAGAAAGCTCCTACGGCCTTTAGCTGAAAGGCCAGTCACCTCTGAAGCAGAGGATGCTTGGTTTTGGGGGCTTGGCCATTTCTCTCTAGAGGGCTCTGGGGGAAGTTGGTATGCCGCTTCTGCCTGGTCAGTGCTCTCCTTCATTCACCAGACTGACTCTCCTACTCATTTAATGGGGTGCTGCGAGTCACGCCAGAGCCGTGAAAACCCTTTGAAATGCCTCCTGTGCTCCCTGGAAAGCCAGAGTGCCTCATTTTTATGCCATTCTCAGATGTACACAGTTTTTGCCACTGCAATGGTAAATGATCAGAAGTCTGTTTACTTTCGGGCTCTCTTTGCCCTATCTGCCATTCATGTCCAACTTTCCCTATCTCTCCCTTTCTCTTTTCTACATTTTGGCTTGTGCCCTGAAGGGTGCTATGCAGGCTGGGTCCTGGAGACCCCCTTCTAGGTTCCCTCTCAAAGGCTAGCCAATGTAGGCTTGATCTATTTGTTCAGGGTTTCTTTGCATTTTTCAGAAGTTCGCCATCTTGAATTCTCCATCTTGGCCACATGGTGGGTTAAGGGTTTGGTCCCATCTGACCCTTAACCTTCCACCAAGCTTACTACTCCATCTAGCTATTCTAAGGTGCCTTGCTAACAAGTTGCTCTTTTCACAGGCCCTGGCAACTGAGGCCCAACCATGTGATGTGCTTTGTTAGCAAAGATGTCTAAACATTGTTGTCAAAATTTTAGATTTTGAGTTTTGCCTACATGGTTCTAAAATACTGGGCATATCTGTGCTATAATTCTCATTACATCTAATGAGTTTTGTCATTTCAGAATACTTGTTGGCAATTCTTGATAAGGACTAGGTAAGCTCTACTTATTCTATTTGATCTCCTTGTTGCTTTAATTGGAAATAATAAAGGGCTTTTGTGGCAAAGATTGCAGTTCAAAGCCAGCCCAGGCCGAAAAATCCCTAAGACTCCATCTCCCAACTAACCTGCAAAGAGCCAGGCTGGAAGCATGGCTCAAGACTGAACTGCAAGTGGTACTATATAACTCAAAGTGGTTCAGTGCTAACCTTGAGCAGAAGTGCTCAGGGACATTGCCTAGGCCTTGAGTTCAAACCTCCTTGAATACCAACTGGGAGGGACAAGCCATCCCAGCAATGAGCACCTAGAGTCAGCCAGTCTGGGGAACAAGGGAACATGGAGAGGAGTAAGAGGCGATGATGTCACATCAGCCACTTTGTGCCTGCCCTTTCAAAATTAACCAGAGCCGGGAGATTAGTAGAAGTAAGAAGCCTGCCCATCTAGTGTCCATACCTGTCTACCTATTAACTGGACAAGAATTTATATTCTTGCCTTTGTTACCTGACTTCTCCTCTACCTAGTCACCAGATGTCAGAAGTAGCAAAGGACATTTCTACCAACATTTTCAGCCCCAAGTCCTTTTGCCATTTATTTGCTCTCTAGTATTTTTTTTCCAGCCCCTCAGTGCTCATGAGACTTCTCCAGACTTCATCTAAGGACTCACGCCACCAACGGACAGCTGCTGCTCACTGCTTTCTCTGGGAGGGGACCAAATTCCAGCCTTTTACCCCTATTGTCGACACCCCTTGTCAGCAGGAAGTAGCCAGAGGGAATCCACGCCCTATTTCATGA